CCCCATGCCAATGCGATGCGGATGGGGGGATCCTTTCATTCGGCGGGTGTTAACAACAATTCTTTGTGAACGGTGTCGTTGCGAATCCATCCTCGGGGGATTTCAATAGGAATGCTTCTGTGGAGTGCTTCGATAGGGATCCTCCTGTGAAGGGTTTCAATCGGAATCCTTCCACTGGGGGGTTCACTACGAGTCCTTCTGCGGAGGGAGACGTAGGACTCGCCAACGCAATGTCAACGAAATGCCGCAGCTGTACCATCGCAGTGCCAAGCCAATGCCAAGGCGATCCCAATCCAGTGCCAATGCAATGCCAATGGGGGGGGCTTTTGTGGTAGATGTTGAAAAGGGATCCTATTTTTTGGGGGGGTCAATAGGAATCCTTGTGCGAAGGGGGGCACAAGGACTGGCCAGCGCAATGCCAACGCAGTGCCGATCCAATGCCAATGAAAAAATCCAATCGCTCGGCGGAGTTCAATGAGAATTCTTTTGTGGACGATGTCATTACGAATCATTCTTCAGAGAATTTCAAGTGGAATGCCCATGTGGAGGGTTTCAAGAGGGATCCTCCTGTGGAGGGTTTCGCTCGGACATTTTTTTTGTAGATGGTTCAGTTGGAGCCCTTGTGCGGAGGGAGCCAGTAGGATTCGCCAGCGCAATGCCAACGCAATGTCGCAGCAGGGCCATCGTAATGCTAGACCAATACCAAGGCGGTCCCAATCCAATGCCCATGCAATGCCGAAGGGGGGGATCTATTGGTATACATTCAACGGGATCTTGATTGTGAAGGGTTTCAAGTAGAATCGTTTTGCGAAAGAGGGCGTTAGGACTCGCCAACAATGCCTCCCGTGTCTACAAAGATGCCTCCCCTGAGCGACGAGGGTGTTCAGATACCGTGTTGCTTCCCAGGTTCCGTGCCCCGTCCACCCGTCCAGCGAAGGTCCCGCCTCAGCCTTATGTGGGGGACCCCGGTAGCATAATTGTCCAAAAACACCCTGTCCGTTTCCTTTTCCTTCTCCCGCTTCCTGTTCCACATCCCATCGCAAAACCACACATACCATACTATACCATACCATGCCATACCATACAACAGCATACCATACCATACCAGACCATACCCTTCTGCGGAGGAGCCATAGGACGCGCCAGCGCAATGCCACCGCAATGGTGAAGCTGTACCATCGCAATGCCAAGCCAATGCCAAGGCGATCCAGATCCAGTGCCAATGCAATGCCAATCGGGGGCAGCCTTTTGTGGTAGATGTTTAAAGGAATCCTATTTTTGGAGGGTTTCAATGGGAATCCTTGTGCGAAGGGGGGCACAAGGACTCGCCAGCGCAATGCCAACGCGGTACCAACGGAATGCCAAACCAACGCCAAGGCGATCCAATTTTAATGCCAACGCAACGCAACAAGGGTGGATTGCTTGTGGTAGCGTTCAATAGCAATCCTTCGAAGAACCCTTCTGTGGATGATGTCATCCACCTAGGAATCCTTCTAAGGACCCTTCTTCGGTGCATTTCAATAGGCATCCCACTGTGGAGGGATTCGCATGGAATCCTTTTTTGGAGGATTGCAATGTGAATCCGCATTGTGGGGGGGTCGATGGAATCATTATTGTGGGCGTATTCACTCGGAGTCCTTCGGTGCAGCGTTTGTCTGGGACTCGCCATCGCAATGCCATCGCAGTGCCACCGCACTGCCATCGCAACGCCAACGCAATACCGATGCGATGCCAAACCATTACCAAACCAATACCAATGCAATGTCGACGGCATGATTCCAGTCTTTTAACAGGTTCCAACAGGAATCCTTATGTGGATGATTTGGTTACGATTCATTCTTCGGAGGATGTCGAATCGAATTGTTTTGTGGAGGGTGTCGACAGTAATCTTTTTGTGGAGGGTTTACCATGAACCCTTCACGTGGGGACTTCCAAAAAGGAACCCTTAGTGTGGAAGAATTCACTAGGAATCTTTTTTTATGGTGGGAGCCATTAGAACTCGCCAGCGCAACGCCAAATCAGGGCCAACGCCATGCACAACCAATGCCGTGGCAATCCCAATCCAGTCCCAATGAAATGCCTGGGGGGAATCGCATGTGGTCGGTTTCAATCGGGTTCGATATGAACCCTTTTTGTGGAATGCTTCAATCGGAATCCTTCCTGTGAGGGGTTCAATCGGAATTATTTTGTGATGGGGGCTATTGGAACTCGCCAGCGCAATGCCAAAGCAGTGCCAACTTATGCCAATTTCATGGCGATCCCAACCCAATGTCGTTGCAAAACCGATGGGGGAAAGCATGTGTGATAGATTTCAATCGGAATCCGTATGTGGAGGGTTTCGCATGGAATCTTTCTGCGTAGGGTTTCAACATGATTGACCCTTTTTTTGCGGAGGGGTTCACTCGGAACCCTTTTGGTATAGGGTTTCGATTTGGGTCCTTGTGCGGAGGGTTCCATTCGGACCCGGCAGCGCAATGCTTGGGTTCCATTGTGACATTCGTGGGCGATGGGCCCCGTGCCACGTGGGCCCCGGCAGGTGGATGAGAAGGAGTAGGAGGACGAGGAGGAGGAGGAGGAGGAGGAGGAGGAGGAAACCTTTCTGCCCCCCCAAGAAACAAAACACAAACAACTCAAACAAAACAACGGGGAGGGGCGGTGGGCCGCTCAGTTTTTTGAGGGGGGGACACCAAAACACGAACAACTGCATTGATTATTAAGGCTTACGCCACATCCGCCGACCCCTATTTAAGGTACTGCGCCTCCAGGACTGCATTTCACGAGGCTTGTCCGAATCATGACACGGCGCTCGACATCGTTTTTGTTGCTTCGTTGCTGTTATCGTACCTCTTGGTGTTCCTTTGTGGCCTCTTGGTGGCATCTTGGCCTGTCTGCAGGCCATATCCGGCCGCCTCGAGGCATCTTGGGCCAAGTTTTGGGGCCTCTTTGGGGCTTCCTGGGGTCTTCTTGGAGTCCTTTGAGGTTCTTTTGGGGGTCCCTCAGGGCCTCTTGGGCTGTTCTTGGGGCAGGCTGGGGGCGTCTCGGGGCCGACGGCTCGAACAGGTGTCGTCTTGGGGCCGTCTGGGGGCCCTCTTGGGCTGTCTTGGGGGTTTCGGGGGCTGTTGTTGGACCCTCTTCGACCCTTCTTGGGGGCCCCTTTGGCCGTCTGGGGGCGATACTGAAGGTTTTTTTCCCCCGTCTGGGACGTTGTGAAAACCGAATAGGCGAGCATGCGAAACATGTTTTTTTGTTCGAAGGGAATGGGACGATTTTTGTTCCTTGGGGCCCTTTTGGGGCGCATGTTGGGGGCCGTTTGGGGCGTCTTGGCAGCTTCGGAGGCCGCCTGGAGGCCATCGTGGTCGTCCAGGGCCACATGTTGGCGAATCGTGGCCCCCTGGGACCGTCTGGTGAGCGTTCTGGTGCCTTCATGGCCAGTTTTGGAACCCTCCGCTCCCCCGTGACGCGTTCGGTCAGGGGTCGTCCGGGGCCGGGAGGGAGGGGGGGGGGAGGGAAGGGAGGGGGGGGGGGGGGGCATGTCTCCGGTTTGGGGTCCCTTGGGGGGGTTATGGGGGGGGAACCATCTCACACGCCTAGAGACCCATAAGGGGTCGGCGGATTTTTGTTGGAGGAGGAGGAGGAGGACGGGGAAGAGGAAGAGGAGGACGAGGACGAGGACGAGGAGGAGGAGAGGAGGAGGAAGACGAGGAGGAGGAGGAGGAGGAGGAGGAGGAGGAGGAGGGAGAGGAGGAGGAGGGAGAGGAATTCCCGCTGCCCCCCAAAAAATGGGGAGGAGCGTTGTTTGTTTTTTTTGTGTGTGTGTGTGGGGGGGGGGCATACCAACAACGAAAAACTGACGCATTTCTTTGAGGAGGAGGAGGAGGAGGGAGGAGGAGGAGGAGGAGGAGGAGGAGGAGGAGAGGAGGAGGAGGAGGAGGAGGAGGAGGAGAGGAGGAGGAGGAGGAGGGAGAGGAGAGGAGGAGGAGGAGGAGGAGGAGGGAGGAGGAGGAGAGGAGGAGTTTGAGGAGGAGGAGGAGGAGGAGGAGGAGGAGGAGGGAGAGGAATTTCCTTGCCCCCCAACCCAGGAAGGGCCTTTTTGGGGGGGGGGGGGGCACAGCAAACAACGAACAACTGCATTGATTTTTTTGGAGGAGGAGGAGGAGGAGAGGGGGGGAGGAGAGCACGAAGGATGGGGAGAGAAGAGGACGCCAGAGAGCACACAGAGCATGTGATATCAGGTTACGTGCCACTCCCACCCGTCCAGGGAGGCCCCGCCTGAGCGAGGACAGTATCCGGATACCATGTGATTGATCAGGTTTCGTGCCCCTCCCACCCGTCCAGGGAGGCCCCGCCTGAGCGAGGACAGCATTCGGATACCATGTGATGTATCAGGTTTCCTGCCCCTCCCACCCGTCCAGGGAGGCCCCGCCAGAGCGAGGACAGTATTCGCATACCATGTGATTTATCATGTTACGTGCCCCTCCCACCCGTCCAGGGAGGCCCCGCCTGAGCGAGGACAGTATTCGGATACCATGTGATGTATCTGGTTACGTGCCGTAGATCTTCTCTCGCTCGTGGGGATGCATCGAGCGAGGTTCTCCATGTTGCACCTCAGACTCTTGTCGATTCATAGGCCATGATCATCCAGATGTAGGGAGATGGACGGCCTCCAGGAGGGCGGAGGGCGGACGGAGGAAGATAGGGGAAGGATGCAGGAAGATGGACTTCGGAGGAGGGAGGAAGACAATGGAGGGGGTGCGACGAGTAGTGAGAGGAAGAGGGGAGGGGGCCTACTCACCACCTATCTGTCTTTGAGTTCACACATCGCCGATGGGGGCCTGAAAGCCCACCCTGCACATGAACGTGCGGATTCTCTATCGGCTGCCACTCGTCGCTCTATCGGCGATGCGTCGCCGATTCCAGGTCGATGTGTCCCCCCCTCTAGTTCCAGTCTCGCATGCATGCCTGGGTCCGCCTCCACTTCCACCGCCCTTCGCTGGGGCCAGGCTGCGCAGGAGCACCTCGAGTTCATGACGGAGACAGGCGGGGGCGCACGCGCTGCGGGGGGGAAGGACAGGCCGAGAGGAAGGGGGGAAGATCAAGCAAACACAGGTCCGAAGGTTTTGCTCCGTGTTCGGCATGTGAATGTCACTTTCGGGCCCCAGGGCCATCGCGACGCGACCCAGGATGAACAGCTGGACGGGATGGACCCCGGGAGGGACCCTGGGAGCGCGCTCGGGCGGATCTGAGCTTTGGAGGATCAGGAGGAGGAGGAGGAGGAGGAGGAGGAGGAGGAGGAGGAGGAGGGAGGAGGGAGAGGGAGGAGGAGAAGGAGGGAGGAGGATGGGGAGGAGGAGGAGGAGGACGAGGACGAGGACGAGGAGGAGGAGGAGGAGGAGGAGGAGGAGGAGGAGGAGAGGGGAGGGGCCGAACCACGTCGGAGGCGTTCTCTGCCCCTTTGGGACCTCTCAGGGCGGAGGGGGTAGCCCGCGGCAGGGGTGGGCCCAGACTTCTCGCGTCCTGCAGCAGAAACGACGGCAGGCTTTGGGCAGTCTTCGGCCACTGGAGGCTTTCTCACAGGGCCCCAGGTGCGGGGTCCCCGACTGTACACCACCACCACCCGCACGCCTCATCCCCTCCCTCCCGCAGGAAAGGAGAGGGAGGGGGAGGGCCGAGGGGGGAGGGGTAGTGGAGGTGGTGGTGGCGGTGTTTATTTATGATTGGGGCCCGTACCAGGACTGGCAGACCACGGCTCGGGGGGAAGAGATGGTCCCTGGGAAGGCGGTCCAGATCTTTCGGGGTTCCACTCGGGAATCTCGGGGGGAGGGTGATGATTGGGGGGAGGCTCGCAGAGGAAAAAACGGCACACGCATAAAACTCGGAGGTACAGTGGAATCCCATGCCAAGAAATACCCTGCTTGCCTCCAGGGTGCCTTGGGTTTCTTGGGTTTCGATGGTTCTACGATGGATAAAGGTGACGTTCCCGCACCAAAAATCAATGGACATCCTGGGGTCTATTGTGGAAGGTTTCTTGTGGTCGAGCTCCTACTGTCCGCCCGGTGTTCTTGGATCGGCCTTGGGCCTGCGCACGGAGCGCGCCAGGGGCGGCGCTGGAGGCGCAGCCCAGTGAGTGCCGCGCCGACCCGAGAATTCGGCGGGACCTCCGCAAGTTTCTGCTTCGGTTTCTGGTGCTCCTCTAAATCGAGGGCCGATGTTTTTCTCCTTGTTGGCCTCTTTGGGACTTTCTTGGCACCATCTTGGCTATGGGCTGGATCCGCCCCGTGATCCTGGGAAGAGGAGGAGGAGGAGGAGCAGGAGGAGGAGAAGGAAGACAATGAGCGCGAGGAGGACGGAGGAGCGGGAGGAGGAGGGCGAGCAAAAGGGCTAGAGATCTGTTCGATGCCTCTCGGAGCCTCTTGAGATATCTCTTGGGCGCTTCTTGAAGGCCTCCTTGGCACGTCTTGGCGGTCTCTCGGATGTCCTTTGGGGGCTCTTGGGCGTCTCGGGTGCCTCACTGGGGCCTCTTGGGGCCGCTTGGGGTTCTCTTTGGGGCCATGTTGGGGCCTCGTGGGGCCTCCTGGGCGCTTCTTGGGGCCATGTTGGAAGAGATCGATCAACAAAAAAATGGGCTCCTTAATTAGTGCCCCCCCTCGGAAACCCCAAAAGTCACCTCTTGGGCCCCTCGTGGGGCGATCTTTGGAGCGTTCTTGGGCGCTCTTGAACCCGTCTTGGGGCTCTTTGGGGCCTCTGTTGGGGCCCTCGTGGGCCCTCTTGGAGATGTCTGGAGGCCTTAGAAGTCCATTGGAAGCGGAAAGGCGAGAACACCAAAATCATTGATTCGCTTTAGGTTTTGGAAGGACTTTGGCTGCTTCGGGGCCTCCTTGGGGGGCTCTCTGGCTATTTGGAGCCGTCTTGGGCGGTCTTGGGGCCTCTTGGAGCATTTTGGGGGCCATCTTGAGCAATCTTGCGCTATCTGAAGCCATCTTGGAGGTTATTTTGGATTTTCTGAGGCCCTCTTGGAACTTTTTTGGACGCCCCAACATGTCGCGGAACTCCCTGTCCAGGTCCCCGAAGGGAAAGAAAGGGGGTTGGAAGAGGAAGCTCCCTAGACCACCTACGCCCACAGGGCTGGTGGGATTGCCCAGGCATTCCGCAGGACATTCCACAGCTAATGGCTACCGGAGACAACTTTACTTTGGAGGCTTTGCAATAATTTTCAGAGGGACTCCCATGGACAATGTATCATCTTACACGACGCGCCATCACTTCACGCAGATCTCCGAGAACACGCGCGACTTCCACGAACGAGACCTCCACCAGTCTGCGCTTCGCCCGCCAGCACCAGGAGGCCCGTTCGCTCGCGAACCGCGTGCCGATTTCGATCGCGAGCGGCATGTCCCCCCTTTTTGTGCGAGGGCAGCCGCGCGGGCAGGAGGGGGGCACCGCCGCGCCAGGCAAGTCCCTGGCGGAGAAGGACCCCGGCGCGCGCGCCTCCAGAGGGCGGCGGGCGGCGCGGCGCCCATCGGGGGGGGGGAGGGGGCAGGGGCGCCGGTGCGGGGCGGCGGTGGGCGGGGACGCCACGGCGGGCGAGGATCGGGGGAGCGTAAGACCCGGGTTTGCCGGGACTCGAGTTCGCCATCGTTTTTTGACGACCGCGCCTCGGATTTTGACGAGGAGGAGTTTCGTGGGATGTCTGCAGCGGGAGGCCTCGTCAAAATGCAGGCTCGGCCTCGTCATTTTTTTGACGACCTCGTCGGGGATTTCCGAGTCCCCTGTACCCGGGTCTTACGCTCCCTTGAGAGGTGCAGCAGGTTCTCGGCTTGAGGGCACGGCGGGGAACCCCAGCGCGGGCGCTGTGGGCCGAGAGGCTCGGGATCGGTCGTCAGGCACCGGGAACAGAACAAACACCCAGACCTGGTACACACGACGAAGACGTGGCCTCACCGAGGTCCCCGTCTTTGCATCAGGGATACCAGTTCTGGGCGGTCTGGTGCGGTGCATCTGCAGAAAGGACCCCCTATCCCTAATGTTTTTGGCCGTCCTGACTGAGGTCCCCTCCCCCAGGGTTAGGGGTCCGTTCTTGGTTAAACTCAGTAGGGCGATCTGTCGAGCGGGAGGCCGCCGATCATGTGAGGTTGGCCGATCCACGTGTTCTCAGAGACCAACGCCGCAGTCGCCACGGCACGGACTTGCCGCACACCAGCGACGCCTAGCACTCCAACACGCTGAACAGATCAATGTGACATTGGTTGGCCATTTTTATTTTTTTTTCCAGGCCCTCTGCCGTGCAATAGCATGTCCCGAAAGATGTAGAACACTTGCCCTGGGGAATCGGGACGATCGACCTGGGTACGGAAAGAGTGTGCACCAAGACCCACGGCAGTTCCTGCGGATTCTGAACCGGGTTCGCTGTCGGTGTCGCCGCGGGCGGGGTGTCCATCTGAGCCAGAAGGCCGCCTGCCCAACAGCGGCCTGTGTTGGTTTTGGACAACAGTTGCTGTTGGGCATGGTATCCGTTTTCCCCGCACCCATTCCAGGCGTCCAGAGGGAAGGGTCCACGCTCCCGGGGCACCACGCGTGGAACAAAACAGGACGACCGACGTCTGTTCGGCGAGGGAAGGCGCGCCCTTCCCCCGCCTGTCCTCCCTCCCCTTCCCCCCTGACCTGACGCGTCCGACGGTACAGTCGGCCCGCACAGTAAGGATAGGCAAGATTCCCAACTTTCCCCTTTGCATCCTTCCCTCCTCGGCCCATCCTCGGCCGCTTTCGCTGGCCGCGCCCCGCGCGAAAAGCTTCGAAATGGCCTTGCAAGGCCCTTGCGTCCTTATCGCGCGTCCTCGTGATGCGGGTTGGCTGTGCCCATCGGTCGTTGAAAGTAGGTACTTTGGGACTTCCAGGTTCCATTCTACTCTAGGCGCCTTCCTACTTCCATGATCGAGTGGCTTCACCTTCTCCGTTCTCCTGAGCGGGCGGGCGGAAACCACCATCTATTTTCAACGCCTTCCACTTCATGGGTATCGTGCGTCCTCGTGGTACGGGCTGGCTGTACCTTCAGAGTCCTTCCACCCCAGTGCACCTCTCTGGCCCCTGCCACCAAGACCGACGCGCCGAACGAGGCGCCCCCCACCCCCCCCCCGAGAACCGCTCGCCCGGGTGGGCAACCCGGGCGACCCCCTGGCGAAGCCCAGGCGACACCCCAGCACGGCCCACCCAGCGCACGGGGCGCCCACGATCGGCGACTACGAAGGGTATGGTTACGCCGGGGTGTGGTTTGCGATCGGCACCGCTGGGGCCTGGGGGGCACGACGCTGTCCTGGTCGGGCATCCTCGGGGCGCGGGAGAACTCTATCGAGGTCCCCGCGCGCCCCCCAGGGTGGCCCCCAGGATTATGTCAGGCCCAACCTGACCCCAGGATGTTCCCTGGGGTGCCGGTTGCAGCCCACACCCTCTGCAGGCCACGCCCCGTGGAGTCGCCGAGGCACCCCAGCACAGCGCACCCAGCGCACGAGGCCGCCACGAGCGCCCACGGGCGGGCACCGGGCGAGGCGTCTCAGCGAGCGCGGTCCCCCTGCTCGCAGAGTGCCTGCTCGCGAGCGTCCGAAGAACACACGTCTGCTTCGATGGAGTGTGTCGTAGATCCCCCGCGGCGGATCCAGGTCATCAGCGATGAGGGGAACCAAGAGCGGCACAAACATAAAAACTCTGAGGTCCGCGCGGATTTCTCGGATCGGCGCTGGGGCCCCCCGGCGGCGCCTCCGGCGCCGCCCCTGGCGTGCTCCGCGCGCCAGGGAGGGGGGTCCGATCCGAGAAATCCGCGCGGACCTCCGAGTTTTTATGTCTATGCCATTTTTTGTTCCCCTAACGATGAGTTGCTTTGCGAGTCGCGGAGCGCGCCCGTCTAACATCGGCACACCCACTCGGCAGGAGGCGCCCACGAGGCGCCCACGAGCGTTCACCACCTGGGCACCAGCCGACAACAAGGCAAGAAAGAAACCCTGAGTGCAATCGTCATGTGGGGAAGCGAGAATAACTCACCTCGTGGA